ATTTGTAATGTAAAGTAATCACAGAGAGCCACCCACTCTGAAAAGGAAAAATCAGGAGCAGATATGGTAATGGAAGATAAGAATAGCTGGATTGGCCAAAAAGAGTCTCTAGGGGGTGTGGGGAGGGTGGGTGTCTCTTCCCTGACAGGTAAGAGTTGGAAGTGGGGAGTTTTTGTCTTTGCCTTCAGCAGTGCCTGGTTGAGCCTATTTGTATTACTACTTATGTGTTTCTTAATGGTGAAAGAAATGGCTGTTAATTGCAGGTACCTTGAGGCTTGCATTGCAAAAGGTGTTTGGCAGAGTTAGGATGATATTGGGGCAGCGCAGTGAAAATAAGTATTGGAATGCCTTCATCATCTTTCCAGTTCTGTACCGATTTATGTGTAGCCTGGGGGAGGTTGACCTCTTCTTGTTTTCCAAGAAGAGGAATGTTTGGTATTTAGACCAATCATAATTACTGTCTTACAAAGTATGCTGTTTTTAATCCTTGGTTGTATTCTCAGGATAAAGAATACCATGAAATTAATGTGATAATTGTATTCAAGAAACACTATATTCATTTTACTTCTTTGTAATGAAGAAAGTAGGCAATGCTTTTAACATACCATATTTCTGTTGTCACAGTTAGCTATTAAAACCTTTGATAAAACCAAGTTAAAATCTGTTGAAACGCTGGACCAGAGCAAAGTTAAGATTATTGACAGAGGATGCAGTGGTGAGTTTGTGAAACATGATGACATGATGGAAGTTCCTCAAAGGAGTAAATTAATGCAACGAAGACACACTGTGCCACTTTCAGCAGAGATTGTCACTGATCATAATTTATCCAGCCCTAGAAATCCAAGTATTTCACAATCAAGAGACTGCTGTGATGACTTGCTTTCAAAACATTGACGAGGAGGTGCAAATTTGATGTCAAAAGCTGTGGAACTAGGTGGTGTTAATTTCAATAACCCTTCACTGTATATCAAAGAATTCAGTGACACTTGCAAGCCTGCCTTCAGAACAGAATACAAGGATCACTCTTCAGCAGAAACAGAATGTTCCTAGCACTTTCGAAGACTAAATCTTCTGTTTATGTTGGAGGTAACTACACAGCCAAATCAGTACGGACATACCCAGATGCGGACAGCAAAATTACTTTCCTATTCTTAGCACTTATTAAAAAAATTATATATAACAGTAAACCAAACCAAACCCTGTATTGTACTTTTCAGTCACCCACTTCGTTTTTAAAAGTGTTTGAATAATTTTTGCATTTTCAGTTTTTATCACTACATTGGATAAGTATATATAAATATATATATTTATATATATAAAGATATATTGGATAACAAGGTATTTATTGCCAGAGGTAACTGAAATGTCTCTATTTTTATTGTAATGTTACAAACATCATAGTATATATTTCTGTATATTTCAGTAGCTGGGAAAACAATAGTCTATAACATCTGCAATGCCACATTAGAAACTTATACATGCTATTAATGTGAAGGGATGTAACCCTTGCTAATTTCTGTGCAATGCTCCCCTATACTGGATCTGCAAGATCCCAAGTTCTTCTACAGAAGCAAACATACTGGGAAAATACAGTAGAGAGCCCTTGACAAAGCTAAACTTTGTACTTGCTGTTCACAGCCTAATCAAAAGAAAAACATGCAGAAGCAAGCATCTATAAGGACACACAAAATTGTGTTCAGTTGGTTTGGGGTTTTTATTTTCCTTCCTCTAAAGCAAGTCATTCAAAAATGCACAAATATTCAGGATTCTGAACCCGGGCAACATCTGCTGACAAAGCTGCTGCTTAGGAGCCTCCTCCAGACTGCTCTTTAAAAAGGTGAAATTCCAATTATGAAAAGTACTTCTCACATCAGTCAGCATGTTGCCCCATTCCTAGAGGTGACCACTGAAGAATTGAAAGCTCACAAGTAACTATGAGATGGCTGCTTAGATTTGGACTTCATTTTCTACTATTTTGGTTATGGTAGGAGAAAGTGTAAATAGCACAAGCCAGGTTTCTAAGTAAGGACGGTATTTTTTATTCTTGGCTCATCACATCCAGCTTGCATTTTATTTCATAAACTATTTGTATGAATAATTCTATTTCTTTTAACTGTGGTAGTAGTAAACTGCCTGGCAAAGTACAAAGCTGGAAGACATACTGGTGATTTTTTTTCAAATAATTTTTTTAATCTAAGAGGTAAAATGTGCAGGAAGTGCACATACGGAGATGAGGGTCATGTGTTTATTTTTCTAATAATTTATGAGTTAATCTGATTTTTCTAATGTGCCTTGGATTTGTGCCAAATGATGGAAAGAAAAAAAAGTAAAATAACTCTTGAAAATACTGTTTTCTTTGAGTGCTTTTTTCAAGATTTCCTTGCTTTTGTTTTTGTAGGCATTTGAAGGCTTCATCTTGTGTTTATGTATAAATTGAGGGATCTGTTGGAATTTACTTTCAAGTTCAATATGACCTTCTTCCCTCCTATATTCCTGGATTACTATTATCAGGTTGTGTGGCTTTGGGTTTAAGGCATAGAGATGTACAATAGAGAACTGTTAGTGAAACCAAATTGTTAAGAAGTTTTCACTTAACTTCCTTCTCTAGCTCTACATTGCCATTAAAAAAAAAAAAAAGTAGGATGGATGTTCAGCTATCACAACCCAAAATACCAAGAGGAAAGAGATACTGAACTAGTTTTCTTCTTGTGATACCATAAAGATGACCTAGAGTAAGTAACTTATCTTTACCTGTAGCAAAAATAACCCAGATACTACTGACAAAGTTTAAGGTACAAGTACACTTTCATAGATCTGATTTCCAGACTTGCTTGTGTTTTCATTTTACTATGTATTTAACTAAATGTTTCTTATCTTCAGACTTCTTGACAGTATGGATGAAAAAAATGGGTTTATTGTTTTTTTTAATACTGGTGATACTATGCTACAGAGCGTAAGTACGGAATATACTGCTCCAACTACAGAACATGTTTGCACAATGACACAAAATTCAGTATCGTCTTTTTTCTTAATCTCTAATAGACATAGTGTGGCTGAATAGCAAGTTTTAAGATAGCTTATTAAATACCTTTGAAAAGGGCCAGAGATAAGTATCAGAGGAAGTGAACTCTGAATTTAATACTTGCTTTTTTTTCTATTAAAAACAAATTTTGCATACAGCAGGTAATGGAAAACAACTTGTTCAAGACTGTTCTATTTTAAGCACAAAATATTTTGTTGCATTCTATGCGATGACACAGCTGCAACACTCCCAAGTTTCAGCTTTGACATGAATAGTTATGTAATTATTGGTTAATTTTACTCTTAAAATTTAATAATTGGCCATGTCTTCAAGTAGTGCTTGCCCTTGAAAAACTCCCCCCCTGCCCCCGCAAAATATAAAACTTGCAAGAGAAAAAATGTACTGGCTTACTAAGGCAATTTAATGCAGATTTGGTGCATACTGACTGCTGTATTTTTTAACATCCAACAGGAGAATTTTTTTAGTTTTATAGAAAAAGCACAAATTTATTAAAATTAACCAGAGTTTTCTATTCCATTACAGTATCAGAACAGTTATCCTTGTGAACCTGAGGCTACTTAAGTGACCAAGCCACGCTTCAGTTTTGTTCAGTCCAGGATAAAGCTGATTTCCAGGCATTTTAGATACATAGTGTATGTATTTTAAAAAAGCACTTAAATGCCAGGCTGTTCAACTGTAATCTAAATGATGGAAAGATAATGACTAACAAATTATTTAGGTAAATTAAATAGTTTGCAAGTTTCCTTTGATGTGTTTAACCAAGATGGTAATTAAAAATATCTTAATATTCAAAGATATGACAATCAAAGGCTAAATTAGAATAGGATTTGAAGGGAGTACCCCTGGAAGCTTCCCCTAGCAATCTGCTATGCAAATATACTGAAGTCAACTTCATGACACTTAGGATTTGTCTGCAAAGCATGTTACTGTACAGTCCAGTTCAATCTGCAAAAGGCTGTGAGTCAAACTGAATCTAAAACATTACTTCAGGCTCTGACAACTGAGACTGGAACAGCCCTTTTAGAAGAACAGCAAGGCAAGAAAGCTTATCGTGTTACAGTAGAATTTGATAAACTTAGGAATGGGAAGGTGAAGCAGGGATGCTGATTTAGGATGTATCTATCTGTAGCCCCAACAGGAAAACTTTTAAAATATCTGTCACCACACCCTGGCTTGAAACTTTTCACACCAGTAAAAGGCCTGTAGTCTGAAGAAATTTAGCGTGCACCCACGATGTTACTGAAGTTAAAGAATCCTAATTACACACATAGACAAGCAAAATGCCCAATCTAGTCCAAATGAAACAAAAATAACAACTGTTTAAATACTTTTAAACCACATGCACACAAAATGAAAATCACCCATTAGTGCTCACTTTAAACAATTTTATTCTGTTCCAAAAAAACAGTGCAGTTGGGATCATACATATTCCTGTTAAATTATGTCAGAAAAGGGTTGTGTGGTGGTAGAGTGTTTATCAGCACGTTACAGTATTTATCCTACTTATTTCCATAACCATATTTTTGAATAAACGTTAAGCACAAGTTCAGTTTTACTTTATGCATGCAGGAGTTGCAGAAAGTTTAGGAAAAAGGTCTTTTTTAAATTTTTTTTTCCAAGGTAAGAAACACTCCAGCCATTTGATAAAAATGGAGGTAGTTTTAAGAATATACTGTACTAAGTGTCTGAACAGTGCTGTATGACACCGTTAACTTGCTTTTTTTGAGATAGCTTGATTATTTCATAGGGGGACAGTTCAATTGTATGTTGCTTACAATTTCTTTACACAGACTGCCTGAAATTAAGTCCTCTGATCCAAATGCTACTTTGATACCTTCACTTTATTTTATAAATTTTCAGTAAGGACTTGAGAGCCAGTGAGCTGCTGGATAGGCTTCCTTCAGGTGGGAAGGAAATCTTGTTTGGAGGAAGTTTTGGAAATCTTGAAGGAAATCAAAACACTTCTGTGATTTGGAGGGAAGTCTGTAAACTCCTAGAGGGAGTGGCTGTTCCCAGCTTTACACTTGGCTCCTCATCATGTTACGGTATCTCCAATAGCAGCAAGTTAAGTGTGTGCAGTTGCTGAAAGCATAGCTTACACACTGAGTAAGGGGCAACAAAATGTTCGTGCTAATGTAGTAGAGAATCCCACACTGCTCAGGCCTCTTGTACTACAAAAATTTAAGTTATAAAATCCCCTTCTCAGATTTATTTTACAAGACAAATTCATTTGTTGGCCTTTTTATTAAAACAAACAAAAAAGTAAAGCGTAAACATTTTCAGATCTTGCATTCTGCCTGGTAACAGTATCTTGCCTTTTTCCAGGCCCTTTGTTTGGCAGACAGTCTTACAGTAGTATTAATAATCATCCTCTTCATCAGAATCCAGTACTTTCCTTCTGTTGAACTAAAATTGAAATATATGAGGTGAAAATAGAAGGGTCACAGTAAATCCAACATGGAACAAGCCTTTCAAACTCCAATGAATACATGACATGGGAGCAGAACATTCACCCCATCACAACCCACCCGCCCATCACATGGCATAATGGTACAGGACAGACAGTCTGTGAGTCTGTCTCACAACAGAACACTGATATCCCAGCACTAGTATCCACAAATGGTACTGTCAATAAGGGCTGCTGTGATTTAATCTCAGTACTTACCAGTGTTGGTACGAGAGATGGTAAATAGAAAGTTAAGTTCTACCCTGAACTGAAATGGTCCAATACATGCAGTTTTTTCTGCTCTATTTTATAACAAATTGAAATTACATTTAGGAAATTAAGTTTACCTTTACTGTTGTTTTCTTTTCTGTTTGCTGACTCACTTTTTCAAGTATTTCTATCAAACCTTGTTCTGATATCTTGGAAAGGAAAAGAAAAGCCATATAAACACATTCTGAGAGATGCTTAGTATCAAACAACTGAATCACACTTTCCCTTCTTATAAAAAGGGATTGATGGAATTCTATAATAGTATTTAGAAGCTCTCAATTGCCCTTTTCAGTTATTTAATTTACAGATATTAAAAACATCATTTTTTTTAGACTGAATTAGGTTTGAGAATGAATATATACAAGAAAGAATTAGAAAAACATAACTCACCTTTCCAGGTAGCTGTCCAAATCTTGCCATCTGTATAAGATAATTCTCTACTGCTTTTGCTTTGTCTGGTTTCACAAGTGCTAAATTGCTTACTGCAACAAAAACAGGCTCTGTTCATTTTGTTGTGAAAGATACTCAAATACCTTCACTAGCAACTAAAAAGTAACATGTCTCTGTGAAACAGGCTTCTTCATGCCAGGGTCATGAAATAAATTTATAAAAATGCATTTTAATTTATATAAAATAAAGATACAAGATATAGTTCTAAATATTTGTTCCTAATTAGATTAACTAATTTTGACTCTCACTACAATTCCTGTTATTAATGAAAAAAAATAATTAACATAATTCAGATGTCTGTTAACCCCTCCCCTCCAGTCACTGATGTCACCAACTGAAAAGCTGTAATAGTTGTCTCCCCATCAACAGTATTCTTGTAGCCTGGCCTGTATACAAGCACCTATGTGCCTGATTTGAGCAGCAATGGAGTACACTACATGAGAATTTTTTATTAGAAAGTGACTCAGATACTTACATCTTGCACGAGCTGCTTGATCAAGGACTTGAGCTAAAATAGTATTTCTTATCTCTGCTTCCCTGTAATGAAAAATTAAGCACAGATTAAAAGTGGGATTTCAGATACCTAAAATAATATGCACAAACCAGCAAACTATGGAAGACTTTTGTTTAATAGGACTTCTTGAGGTCCCTTCAAACCTCACATTTACATTTCTTCTCTAGCGTTTTCTGTCATGAGCAGCTTTGTGTATGTTGACAAAGTTACATAGCTGACAACATCTTCCAAGAAATTAAGATGGAATTTACTAGTTACACCTTATTACTGTTTATGATTATATCATAAAGACAAAAGCCATGCTACCCACTCCAGAGATTCTGCGTTCAGTTCCAGGTGGAATTTCACCAAAGGCAGTGTCTGCTAGAGCAGGCATAAGGAATAGTCTGTGCAATTGCAAGACAGAACCAAACCTCATGATTTATTTAAAATTTTGCAGTAAGTCTTCATATACTTAAGTATTTGCAAAACTGGAATTTTAGTTTATGCATTTCAGTTCATACAAACTTTGTGTGCAAAGTCTAGAACTTTAAACACTTCCTTTCAATTTTCTACTTGGTAAAAATACTAAATGCTGTTTCTGCACTAAACTCTGATAGGAATAACTTTGTTTCATATTTTTAACTGCAATAAATGTCCTAGAAAAATCAAATCAACTAGGAAAGCATGTTCCCATTGCACTAACAGAGCCAAACCCAAACTCATCACTCAGACAAAATTCCAGTTTGGGAAGAGTTCTGCCAGCCTTCAAGATTTTCTTATGACCAACTGTCACCAATGCTGAAAAGTCAAGGTTTCTGAGTTCCAGAAGTGGATGACAGTGGGAATAATGATGCTTCCCCAAAACATCCCATTTTATCATGAGGTTACTGCACCTGGCTGAGCTGCAATGCAAAAATGAGCTGCTACTGCTGTTTTCCTCTATGCCCTCCCACCCCAGTTCAGGGTTCAGACTGCCTGATAGCTCTGTTGTAGGTCACCCAATATTAGTCACGGCCACACTCAGCTCAAGCAGATTTTAGCTGTCCTTGGATTAAATCTTCAACATTTCAGCTTCTTCGTTGGTGGTTTTTCCAAAAACAAACAAAATCCAGATGTGCACTCCAAATACTCAGAAAACCCCCTACATGGGTCAAAACAATTAAGACTTAAGACCAAAAGTCAATAGTTCTCATTTATACCTCTGTTTTGCTTCCTGTTGTGATGGATCAGCAGAAGGATCCTAAAGAATAAGATGAGAATAAATATGATCATCCAAAAACATTCCAGACAGGACAGTAAGTTTAAACATTCCAGCAGAGTCAATGTAAGCTAAACCTGGCTGCTAAACCCGCCTGACCACGGACGAGATCATGAAAATAACAATCTGCTACCGTAGCAAATAAATATGCCATACTATGCATTCCTCACAAAGCAGTAACGCAGACGAGTGTGATGACTAGTGCTACTGGATCTATCCACAGATTGCTGTGGGTTTGGATATTAAAAGGCCTTCCTGTTAGATCTAAGATAATAAACTTTCCCCAAAGCCCAGAAAACAGACACAAGCATTTTAAACCCATTAAAGTAAGCTACAGACAAGTGAAATTCAATGTAACCCTTTGTATTTATCAATACAGAAGAAAATACAATCCTAGCATGGTATTTGGGGACTAATACAGGCAGCTGAGATGATGACTATTCAAAAGCACATCACAAAAAAAGAGAAAGAAAGTGAACTTTATGTTGAATCTGCACCAAAAAATGTTACAGGTAACATTTCAAAGTGTGAGAGCAGAAAGGGAAACCACACAGAGAGGAGATGCAGCTGATCACAGGGGCGACAGGTTCCTTCACAGGAACCGCGGAACAGGCCCATACACCTCAGCTCTGACAGCAGCGATGACGGGAGAGGCTGCTGCCGGGGATCTGCACCCCGGGAGCGGCACGGGAACAGGCCGGGGGAGGGAACCGCGGTGTGCGGAACCAACCGCGGTGTG